GAGCGCTGCGGGGATAGCCGGCTGCAGAAACCCGTGTCCTGATCCAGGGGCAGGGGTCTGCCGGAGCACGGCTAGGATCCAACCGCATGAGGATTGCCTTGAAAATGGTCACTTTGCCAAGAGGTGTGAAAGCTTGGCTCGGGTTTTGCTATTTTAAGTGCTACCCTGTAAGAATACATGAATCATGTTTTAATGACAGGCTCGACTGTTCAGGTGTATGTGCACATACGTTTGCTTTATGGCCTTCAGATGAAAGGTGCTGTATAAATGCAGATGATCACTCTTAATGTTGCATTCCTTTGAGGGTGGGAACTGTATTCACTTTAAGTACAGGGGACTTTCCACTTGGGTATTCTGATAGGTGGTACCTCGATAGTTGAAAGCTAAAATTTCAAGAGTACTGAATTGAATTTTATTTAAGTTTATACCTTTCTGTTTGTCCCCCTAAAAAAGGCTTACAGCTAATGTTTAGGCTAATTTATGAGAAGCCTTTATGCTTCAACTGAATTTTTTTTTTTAGTAGAGTTCAGAATTCTAGCATTTTTTTATTGTCTGCAAAATCAAGAGACTTACAGTTCTATGCACTTAATTAGGCAGTGGAATTTACAACCTAAGATAAGATTTTTTTTATGAGAAACTCTGATATGCCCAGTGGACTAGCCATAAACCTTTCCATTCAGTCATCATTTTTGGAAATTATTGTTGCATACCATATCCTGATAAGCCAATAAAACTGTCATTTTCTGACTCCTGCAGAAGCATTCTGTACCGCTGTAGACATGGCTGTGTAATTCCATTGTCCATTTTGGTTTGTTTTCATGTAAAACTTGCATACAAAACATGAGTAGCTTGAACTGAAGGCAGAGGAGTGTGTTCCCTGTACCTGGTGGCAAGTGTGTGCTCTCCTATGGTTTTTGCTTTGAACTTGTATCCTCTTGTGTTCATTAGGATGAACAGTGGGAGCGGAGCAGGAGACTGGGATGGAGCAATCCTTGCTTCGGCGCTTAATATTTTTGTGACTGTGGAAGGAGAAAGTTGGTCCAAATGAGGTGTTCTGGTGGTGCATGCCTCCTGTAACCTAGTTATACCCTCTGATTCTATACATTTGTGCTTTTGCCATTGTAGTTCTTTATGCAAATGATTTCACAAATTCATGAAAGAAATGGAGGGTTAAAGGAGGGGACTGTTGCTTCTGTGTCTGCTGCAGAAAAGAATGAAGCTTGTGGTTCCCTTGCATCATAGGTTCCGTTTCTGCATTCTTCCTGTAGCTGAGAACCATGCATTTGCACAATGGCAAAGCTTTTTATTGTATCCTTGCAGCCTGGCACAAAAAAAAAGTGCTCTTCTAAGCAAGGTCAAAAAATGATCAATGTTCATAATTTTTTTTTAAGCTGTTTTCCTGCTTATTAGTTCCCTAATGTATTCATTTGAGGCTGTGTATTTACCAGTAAGTACATCTAATAATGGGCAACTGTATCACACTAGCTCCATCTGTTGTCTGTTCCCAAGTCCTCTTTCTGACTTAGTTACCTTCTTTTCACATGGCCCTCTCACTTTTTCTGAAGTTGAACACATTTCTGGTAGTGGCTAAGCTGCTTTTGGTAAGATTGTCCCATTCGTTGCACTGGAGAACTGTAATAGCTCTTGCAACCAGGAGGCGAGTTTGTTGAAATAACTTTGCTTTTGAAGGCTGACTTTATATGCTCCAGGTCTGTGGCTCGCAAACTGTGAGTTACCTGTTTCCCCTCGGTACCCAGGGCGCTTCAGATTGATCCATAAATACCAAGAGACTCTAATATTAGTCTCCAACACCTTAACAACAACAGATTTGGGAAGCCCTGTTCTTGCTTCAAAAATTTGTAAACAAATCAGTCAAGGCTGTGTTACTGTTCTGTTTGTGCAGGTACCTGAATTAAACATGGTACTGGGTGTTTCACAGTAACATGAAACCAGTAACACAGACTGGTGTTCCAGCTATATTTTAAGAGTAGCTTACAGAATCCGTTTAAATATTCGGGGAGATTGATACTTTTAGCTGGAAAATACAAATATTGACTGTCTTGTGTGATGGTGTATAAATGTAAGATTTTGTCCCAGAGAGGTCAGTCGGGTATGAAATTCAGCCTGCTTACTTTATCTTCATCCGTCTTTCAAGCATTCTCCTCCTCTTTTCTTGCCTGTGCTGGGTTGTCTCACGGGCTGCATCAAACCAACAGAAAGTTGCTTCTCTTCTGTGAACCCCCCCCAGCTCTACCAGAGCTCTCAGCCCTCAGTCATAAACCTGGCGGTAAGGCTGAGGGGGAAATTCCTTGATTACTGCAATGTTACAATACCTGTTGGTATTGGAAAGCTTTGATTCCCTTTGTTTTTCTCAAGAGCTAAGCAAATGTCAGCCTGCTGACACCTGGAAGGCATGAGCAGCTTTTCAGAGTCTTTACTGAGCTGTTTTGTTAGGCAAACATAATATATTAAAATTACCCATCTGAAGCAGCAGCCGTTTATTGTACGTGGTCTACTTGAGTGATTATTTAACTAATGATGCTCTGTAACTAGGCTAGAGTTTGTCTGCACTGTGGATTGGCATGACTAAAACCAGGCTAGGAGACAAATGAATTTTTGCAGGCTCCCTCTGTAGACCTTTGGTTTTGTATTGTATTGCACCCTAGAAACTGTTGGCGTTATAGGGGCATAAGGATCAAGTGGTTTTCTGTTTGTTTGTGGGTTTTTAATCTCCCCCCCTGCCCAGTTCTGTTTGCCTTCTAAATACGTGCCAGAATTTATGCTTATGCTTGATGCAAATATTTTTAAACCTACAACCTTGGCCATGAATCCTGAGCTCTGCAGTAAGTTAGTGGCCAGTCTCTCTTACTGGTTTCAGACTTGGCTACAGTCACAAAATAAATGAACTGTTTGCTTCAGCTTAGCCTCTTGTGGAGGTTTGTTTGCATTATAAAACCACCATGCAGGTTAGCAGACTTTCAGTTTCTGGAGTGGTGTAGTAGGGCTAATGCAGGTCTCTTCTGAGGAATGTCAGCCCTAGTTGTGGAAAGCTTATGCTATGACAGTACTGGCTAGAGCTAGGAATTATCCCCTACAGGAGAGATGAAATTAAAGCAAAATGTTACTTAAATGAAAACAGAAAATGTTGGGATTTTCACATTTGAGTGCAATGTCGTAATTAAAACTTTAAACTGGACCCTAAGACTTAACCCCATAATAGTAGTCAGAAAGACTTCAGCATCAGGATGAGCTGGGCCAAATGTAGTGCAAGATCTGGTACTTGTAGCTACCTTGTCTATAAATACTTGATATTGTCTTTCTTCCAAAGACAAGAAGCTAAGTTATGGACAAACCAAGGAACTTTCCTCTGTTAGGAAACAGGATGACAGCAGTTGAGAAGAAAATTGTGGAATGCCTGGTTCTCTTTACCTGTTTAGTTTGATTTCTTGTGTTTCATTCCCAAATATTTTTTCTCTTTTTATTTTCTTTTTTTTTTTTCCAGGCTAATGACCTCAAAGTCAGTTCAGTCTTCAGAAGATTTTGTTCTTTACATTCCTTTGAAGCTTTTCTGAGATTTGCACATTAGTACAGTGAATTCTCTCCCCTCCCCCCCCCCAAGTTGTTATTTTCTTGTGTGACACTTGCCAGCATAATTCCTTCATGTTTTTGTAGTGCTGGGTTTTGAGGCTACATCAGGCTATGAGTTTAAATAGTTAACTCTTGGCAAATGACTTATGTCAAAGCTTTGGCATCTTGTTCTTCAGAAAACCTTTTCAAATTAATAACATGCATCCACCAGATTTATTGCTTTCCAGGCTGAATGCCTAGCGACAGTCTTCTGTGTCTAAAAATGGTTGTTGTTGTTAAGGCCATCTTTTAGGAAACTGCGAGTTTGACATTTGAGTGCAAATATGCACATGTCATAAAGATACTGGGGACAGAAAAAGTCTTAGTAATGAATTGAAAAGTTTTTTTGGAAGGACCTTGTTTTATACCCTGAGGCATTAAAGAGATGCTGCTAAAGTTGAGAAGCCTTTCCCATTTTTATGTCTATGAAGTATAAAATGTTAAATACTGCCTAATATATGTCACCTGTTAGTTTTACAGTGATGTGTGGGGCATAACTCGATGTGCTGTTTTGGGGTTTCCACCTTTAAATATTTGCAGGCTTAGGCATTGGCTTTGAAAGCCAAACATTTAATTAACCAAATAAATGCTGAGAGAATTTGTATTTATAGTAATTTCTACAATTAAAAAAATCAATGCAGTCATACAGTGGAGAAACTGATCTTCATGTATTATTAACATGGATAATTTTTTTTCTTCAAGATTTGTTTATTTAGACCAAGAAATTAAAATGTGGCAGGACACAAAACATTCTGAAGTTGTGTTTCTCAGTAACGTAATCAATGGATGAGTAGGGCAGGTATGCATCTTGAGAGGTGTATTTCTAAACGATTTTTTGTCTTGGCAGTGGGTTGTGTTTTTCTTGTATAAGGAGGTCAGAAAAATTGGTCTGAAAGCTGAGAATTTATTAGGAAATGTTTTTTACTGTGCTTAGTGCCTTTTTTTAACTGGCTGTTGAGCACAGCTTAAGAGTTTTTTGAGCTGAACTTTAATAAAAAAAACCAACCACCCAACAACCTTTTAGTTGGTTGCAGGATTTGCAGGATAGTCTTGGATTCTGTTCAGTGCACTTTAATTAACCATACACGGTAGTAAATTAAAGTACCTTAGACTGACTTGACAGTCAATTAAATCTTGGTTGATTTAATTGAGAATGTGATCATTAGTGTAATTGGCCAAAATGACAGGAGGCCCACTTGGAATTGTGCCCGCTTGAAATTTTCCTCTAATTCTGTGTATGCAATCCTGGGCAGAAAACTAGACAAATGGAGCTCTATCCTAATAATTTCCAAGGATTTCATGTAGCTGTCTGGAAAGAAGGCAAACTCTAGCAGGCAAAAATGAAGGAATGGGTTACTTGGGAATACAGATGGCAAAACCTTTTGGGGTTTATGTTGTGTGAAGTACTTTGAATCTCTTCTTTCATTGTGGGATTTGTATAGTGTTTTGCGAAGTTCACCATGTGATTTCAATCAGAAGGATGTGTATGTGTGAGGGAGATTTTTTTTTTTTTTTTTTTTTGTTAAATAGATTGAGAGACTATGTTGAGAGCTGATCTTTTGTTAATCGTATCTGGATACTTAAGACAGAGTTAGGCTTTTCCTCCTGTTTAAGATTGCTTACCTAACTTGGTATATTCCTCTAGTTAAGACAACAGCAATCTTCCCTATTTTCTTTTTGCATGTAACTTGCTTTGCCTGAGAAAAACTTACAGCCCTGATTTACAAGTTGCTTTAGTTTGCTGGGCTGCAGTGTGTCTGTATTGTTTCACTAGATTTAGCAGGGGTGTCTGCAAGCTCCAGGGGCCTGCTTCATATGGCGTTACTGTGAGACTGGAGTGTCAGACTGTGCATTTCTGGGGGAAATGCTTGCTCCCTACCTTGGAAAGTGTCTAGTGCATATTGGTACTACTCTGATGCAAAGAAGTTCTAAAAAATTGTTTCTTCAATTACAGCAGGTTTTTCTGGTCAGTCTCCAAAGATACTTGCATCTCCTGTTCCAGAAAATGAATTGTTAACACCATGGTTTCCTGTCTGTCCTCCTTCCATAGACAGTTCTTTCTTTATCTCCTTGAAAAGTAACCAAATGATAGTTTGTCCCTTTTAGATCAAAAGGAATTATTTAAGCGTGCTTTGGAAATTCCTGGGCATCTTCTCTATAGCTGAGGAGGTTCTCTGGGCTATTTTTCTCAGCTGGGGAGATATAACAGTCTTTATCTTCCCATGGTGCTTCTGTACCATTTCCAGACCCTCAAGACTCATGGGGCAAGAATATGAGGTCAGAAATTGGATCCTGATCTGCGTGGCAGTCAGCCACACCATAACATTAGACTATGTAGTACTATCATCTGAAAAGTGCAGTAAGCTCTTGCATGTGGGAGTCTGCATATAAAATTCTGTAGGAATACCACAACATGGGATTTGATAGAGATTAAATTTTCTTAATCAAGCCCTGGTAGACTCTCTTATACCTACTGACTCCCATGTAGAGAGGTAAGATATTTGAAATAAACAGCCTTGAAAAATATGGGGGTGTTTTTTTCTGGTTTTTTTTTTCCTTTTTTGGAGAGGACAACTTCAAATTAATTCCATGCAGTTCAACAGAGCTTACTTCTGAAGGCAGGGAAAGACTATGGGTTTTTCTGATGTGTTGGCATAGAGCATCTCTGAAAGATACACTGCATAGAAAACATGGATATAGCAGCACTGCTATATATTCAGAAGACAGCTGGTGTGCCTCTGTTTTTGAGATGCTCTTAAAATTTAGTGTATTGTTCAGGTTCTGTACATCTGTGTAAATATAACTATAATTGCCTTGCCTGCTCCCTGGTTTTTGATTACTTTGTCCACTTTTTTTTAAATGTTACTGTTTCCTACCCATCCCTCTAGTTTTTCATTCAACCTTAGAAGAAAAAAAAAAAGAGAGAAATCTATCCTCTTTGTGACTGCTGTAAATGAACAGATAAGTGTGGAAAAGATGGAATAACCTCCTGAGTCTAAGGTTTAAAGAAAAAAAAAAAAGTAGGCCACCTGTCAGGTTTGCCAGTCCAAGCTGAATTTGATGGGCTCCAGAGTCATCCCAATTACTTCATCATCCCTTACTGTTAGTTTTTTCCTTTTTCTTGTCCTCTCCCAGTTTGCAAATGTAGCTTGTTTCCTGTGTTTTCAGTTGAACTGAAATTAATATAGCTTTAAAAAGTGTTTGTGGGGAGAATTGTTCTGGCAGTTTCTTGTAAGAATTGTTTGCTTTTGTAGCAGGATTGTTGATGTTTTTATAAATTTGGGGGGTAGATCTTTAGTAGATATGAACTTGTGTTCCTACCAGTTAGGAATTGGTCTTGGAACACTCATACATGGAAACTAAAAACAAAGGTTTTGGTGCTCCAGCTACTTTTATTGACAGCTAATAATTTTCCTTATGTCAACTGAAATTTGATCTGTTTTTTTTTTATAGTTAGGGATCCTTTCAGTCCCTAATTTGAAATCGTTTCTTGCAATAGCAGTAGATTGGTCACCAACTGCTGCTGAAGTAGAATAGAACGTTACATTTTGTGGGTTTCCTCCTGCTTAGTTGCTTGCTTTAGCAACCAGAACTTAAGTAAAAAAGAAAGGGGTGGGGGGGAGGGAGGGAAAGTTGTTTGTTACAAGTTGAATTTTGAGTTCCAAACCTATTAATCTTGTAATAGCCGGAGAATAGGGTATTTCCATGAATTTAAAGGAAAAGTTTATGAGATTGTCTGTCTTTATTGATGATGCTGTGAGGTTGGTTGTGGTGGTTTTTTTTTTTTTCTTTGTTTTTTTTTTTACCCTACTTGGATATCTTCTGTTTTGTTTTGTTTTTTTTTTTTTCTTATTCCTTTAAGCTGCTGTAAGCTGTGTTGGAATCCTATGAAACTTATTAGATATGTTTACAATAATGGTAATCTCAATTTCTTGTATTTTAGGATCCAGCAAGACTAGAGAAGACTGCAAATTACCTAAGATGTGAGAAATTCTCCCTTAGCAAAATAAAACCTTGTTTTCAAAATGGACCGAAGTAAGCGGAATTCAATAGCAGGATTTCCACCACGCTTGGAGCGCGCTGAAGACTTTGATGGTGGCACTGGAGAAGGGACTGCATCCCAGATAGGAAGAGTTTGTACCTCTTCGTACAGAGCCCTGATAAGTGCCTTTTCCAGACTTACTCGTCTTGATGACTTCACACGTGAGAAAATTGGCTCTGGTTTCTTCTCTGAGGTGTTCAAGGTGTGTATTTAGTTCTTTCTTTCTCTTCAGGTTGATTGCTTCATGTTTAGTGCTGGGAATGTATGAGTGTATAAACAGAAGTACTTTTCACGGAAGTCAACTGTTCTTGTATTTGCTTTACTCGGGATGATTGAGTGATGAACTTCCAGGTCTCAAATATTTACTCTGTCACTCTTCCAGCTGTTTTTTATTGCTTTTAATTTATCTGGGGAGTTACAGAGGCTATTTGGGAGAAACAGTAAAAGTTAAAAAAATTGGTTTATCTCTTGATCTCTGCCATGTATTTTTGCATTCATTAGTGCATTTAACACCAGTGACTATTGATTCTCTCATATGTAAGTGTGAATGTCTTTAATTTAGCTAGTTTATTAGTTTGTGGGATTGTACTAGTTCATTTGGTAGTCTTTGCCTCCCAACCCTAGACACGTGTTAGAGGATCTACACATGATTACTGAATTTGAAACCACAAAATTTATTGCACTGAAGTTACAATACAATTAGCTGCTCTTCTCTGTTTCCTTTGCTGCTTGTAATGCCATGCCTCTAACTCAAAAAATCATAGATTATCTTGAAGTAAATAGTATGAATGAGAAAATCTGATGCTGTCGGTGACTTGCTGCTATGAATCTTGGAAAGCGGATAAGATCTTTGTAAAGCCATTTGTGAAACCATACAGGCAATCCCAGTTTTATAGCGCTGGTGGTATTACTGCTGTTCTGACTGTTCTGGTATGGCTTATCGTAGAGGAGTAGGACATTGACTTGACTTCCAGGCTTTCAGGCACTGCAAAATAATTTGCTTCCTTGTCCTAGTTCCTGACTTTAAACGAAGTCACCCTCCAAATTATTTCCATTTCAGTGAAATGCCAGAAAACTTTATTTCACAATATATTATGTCCATTCCATGACACTTGTGGTCTTTTAAGTAGTGAAAGCTCTTACTCAGCTTTATTGCTGTGAACAGCTATGTGAATTAGAAAATGAAAATTATTTTTATGTTGCTTTAATACCCAAAGGCATTCAGCTCTCCATATATATATCTTTTCTTGTGTAAAGGCAAGTCACTCCACAGAAGTTTTTCTGTTTATCTAGTTATATGAAATTTAATTTCCACTAACACAAGTGCCCTGAAGCAAGGTGCTTGCATATCCAGCAGAAAGGGATGGTATTGTTGATCATTAGGAAACAAACGTAAGTGAGGGGAAAAAAGAGGCTAAAAGTAAAGGTAAATTTCCAGCATTCATAGTTATTGACTTATTAAGAATATCTTATTTTAAGAGAGCACTTGGTTTAGTCAGGTAGTGGCATATGCAGGTAAGCATCTGTTTGAGAACTTAGTTGATTGAGAGAAATCCTTGATACCTAGTTTACCTTCCTGTGCATTAGTCAGTCTGATGACTCTTTAAAAACCTTCCCCTGCCATTCCCCTTTTCAGTAAGCTAAACTAGACATCACACGGTGTCAGTCTGCAATCAGTGGCATTACTTTGAGAGCAATGGTGGTAGTCTGAGTATCTAGTGTCTGTTTTCCCAGAAACAACCACAGGCTCCCTGCAGGGAGACAATAAGTGATAAAGCCTTTTCTTTCGCTTCAGTTTCAAACAGGGTCTTGCTTCAGTTTTGGCACAAAAGGGTGAGAATGCATTACGACCTTATCTAAGATGCAGTTCCATACTCATTTAAGCAGGTTTCTGTTCTGCTAGTTTATCAGCCTGACCACCTCTGTCATTAATCCTGCTGTGCTGATGATCAGATTTCATGCAAGAACCTTGATGTGCTTCCAGGAAGGAGAGCCTCGTGGTTTGACACAGTTAAAGTTCAGTCTGATCTGCAGGCTCAGAAAAATCCAGGAGAGTTCTAGACTTACTTTACAAAAGCAATGAAACCTTCCCTTTAAATTAGCAAAGGTGTCTTAAAAAAACCCCACGTCACCAGAGCTTTTTCAGTTATATATTTGTCTGTTGTTTTGTGAGTATCATACATTGGGTTCACTCAAGTGATTTAGCAAAGAACACTTGGACTGTTTTGAGTGTTTGGGATTTCTGTTTTGCTATGTAACTAAAAATTGTTTTCAGTGATTTCTTCCCTTCCATCCTTTTCTGTGAAAACTCTTTTCTAAATACAGTCTCAGTGGATAGAAGTTGCCTTCACTTAACTTGGGAATAGGAGTACATTATGGCTTGGATGTATATATTAATGGTCATATGTGCTATGAATGATCTTGTAGCATTTCTAGTGCACCTTAATGAATAAAATTTGTGGTTTATTCAGCATAAGGTATTAAACTAGCATTTTGATTTTGTTAGCTATCACTATAACACTTCAAATTCATGTTCACCTGAATACTAAGTATTATAGAAACTAGTTTAGAAAAACTGAACTTTGTCAAACTATTAGCAGTCTCATTTGAAACAGCTGACTGACTAGTGCCTATTCTAATTTTCAATGGCAAGTGCAGCTTGCTGAGGTTTGCTTTTAAGATTGAGCTCGGCAAAGACTGTTTATGTAAATGAACAATGCCCAGCCATGATCCCAAACCTTTAAATTGCTAGCTGGGAAGACCATTAAGGGCTGATGGAGCTATAAGTAGTTGTGGGGGAGATAACCATCATACTGTAACTAAATACCATATTTGGGAATATATATTATTAATTATAAAATGTCTGTGTTGGAACAGCAGTCGGACTAAAATCCATTATCTTTTTCTATTCAAATGTACTTTCAGGTTCAAAGTCAGTACTAAATATTCCTGCTGTAGTTGCTGTAAAATTCCTTCAGGTGTTCTTGTTGACTCTGCGTTCTGTAGCTGAACTTTTGAAAGAGACGGGAAATACTCTGATACTTTGGCTGAATGTTAAAAATGGACTTTTTGCAGTTTATTATCCATGTATGCATGAAAACAGGGATCATTGATCCAATACAGAATTATGCAAATTCAGTGTTGTGTGTATTGGCATGTTGGGAAGGTCGTGCTGCTGTACAGGTGTGGTCACTGGGGAATTTGAAGGTTTTGACTGTTGAGGAATGGTGAATTCTTCTGCCATCCATGGAAGAATTCATGGTTTTGTCTTGGGCAGTTCTGCATGCTAGAATAGTTGCTTCACTGCAGACAGTTCTTCTGCTGTTTTACATGTGCCTAGCCATCTAATTAGCAGTAATATCAGAAAAGAATTCAAGAGGAGGAAAACAATTTCTGTTTGGGTGACACTGATTAGTTCTGTAGTGCAGGGACACCTCACTGCTGTTGTAATGATGGGCTTAACTGTTGAAAGCTTTCCCCTCCCCAACAGCCAGAGAGTTGACATGTGTATAACAGGGAGAAAAATAATTTTTATTTGTCACGGAACATGCACTGACAAAACTGCTAAAGCTAGTGCAGCCTTCCAAAGATTGTATTTGGGACAGGCTGAGATCAAATTTGAAGACAGAACTCAAGTCAAAAAGCCGTGGTCTTGACCACCTTGAATTGTGCTTTTAACCTTGTAAGAGTCAAGAGATTTACTACTCAAAATTAGTCATCAGAGAAAAAAATTATTCTTATGAAATACTCTAAGCAATAGGCCAGTATAGTTTGTATCTTAAGCATACACGTGGGAAGGTTATTCATGTGAGCAGTGAAAAGGTGCATAATACCTTAAAAAAATCAGTTAATGAAATATTTGTTTAATGGTGGATGGACGAAGACAAGCCTATGAATATAACATGTATGAGACAGAATGCAAAATAAACTGCCTTTTGGAGCTGAAATCCTAAGCAGCTGAGCATGGGTGCCTTGAAAGAAAAATTTTGAGCTGGAAGTCAGCCCTCTCATTTCAGCATACTTACTGACAGCACCCAGCGCTAAGCTCTCAGTTTATGATCCTCTATAACTTGAGATCCTTTCTGCAGAACTTCTGGCTACATAGTTTTCCTGGTTTTGCACTTGTGTGGCAGATTTTACCTAGTAATCCCTACTGGCTTAAATAATGCTGGGGGTTTATTTTGTGCGTGTGTGCATTGCCCCCCTCCAAGCACTTCTTAATTTTTCAAGATCACTTTGAATTCTAATCCTGTCTCACAAGTGCTTTGCCCTCCTTTACTCCCTGGTTTGACTTCAGGCGGATTCCTCCAGAGTCCAACTTGATAATCTTACCAGTTTACCTGTGAACCACTAGCCACTCTTTTGATTATGGTTTTACATTGCTACTTTATAGTAGTTCCTTTTAGATAACATTTGTCTGGCTTATTTATGAAGATGTCTTGTAAGATGCGTTGAAGCTATATGAAAAACAAGATACAATGAAGCTTAGTGCTAGTATGACATGGATACCCTTGAGAAACAAATGCTGGAAATGTCAGTGCTATTCTGTGTTGTATGGACTCCATAGCCTATGGAACTAGTGCTATCCAGGTCAAGTCTGAATACAAAGAGAGGGCAGCATATTTAACAGAAGGGGTGGTGGATGCAAATGGGTCAGGATCCTTAGGGTACTCATGCTGTATGTGCTTATGCTGTACAGCCTCCTATTTGAATACCCTGGAATGATGGTCCTCAATTCATAAATTAGTTGTTAGTCTTTATTTTGTATGGTCAAATTTATGTGCTCTGAGTTTCAAAAGTGCTGACTGTTCAGGGAAGGTGCGCTTGTCTACATACCTTGTGCCTAAGGCTAGGATCCTGTTTCTCTTATTTAATGTCCTCAAGGTGCCTTAAAGATAAGCAGCATCCAGCTCTCTAATGTGAAAGGAGAAACAGGGCTGGTGTGGGGTTGTGCTTTGGGGTAGTGTGAAGAACACTTATATTTAATTCTTTTTTTTATCCAATACTTGTAATGTACTTAGGATAAAAATGGTAGTTCTGTTACCTCTAATGTATACTATCTAGTATCATTTATGATACTGTGTCCCTTGGGCGCATTGTCACACTAGTGGTCTTGATCTCTAGAACATCTGACTGTGGTAGATCTGAGGGATGCCACAGATCAGGCTTTCCTAAAGTGACTCATTGAGAGCTGTCTTTTTT